TCAATCAGGTCAGGTCAATCTTCATACCTGACCTGAATTTTTTTCAAAAATCTCATACCTGACCTGAATTTCAGGTCAGGTCAGGTCAGGTTACCTGAATTTGGCTGACCTGTTCGGAGCTCTAGTTGCTTTATTTCACTACTAATGATTTTCTTATGAGCCTCAAGAAAGAAATTATCCATCTCTTTCTCTTCAGGAAAGGAATTATCTGTTTTCACATCCACCAATGGTTTCTCATGATACTCCGCAACTGAATTAAAGTTAGATGTACTATCATTAGAAGGATTATCATTATACGACTGCTCTTTCACTGGTAAGGAAGCCTGTTCCACTATCGCAAGTCTGGTCTCAAGCTCCTTATTTTTCTGCTCTAATTTATTTACCTTGGCATCACGCCTCTCATTATATTTCTTATTCACTCTTAGAAACTCAGTATTCCTGTGCTTAAGTTCAGCTATTTCAGCATCAGACACTGAGAGCTTGTTTCTAAGATAAAAGATTTCAGTATTCTCCTTCCTAAGCTCTGCATTCTCAGCCTCAAGCTTGACGTTCTTAGCCTCAAATTCAGTGATACACTGTTTCAATGATTCAAGTTCAGATGACATGATCTATATATAACTAATATAATGTATCACCGGTCGAATGATAAAATATCGGTAATATATCAGTCACCTGATAATCATCTGATAATTCACATATCGTATTCCGATATCTTCGGATTAGTAATTCCGATATGGCACCGATTAATGGAGGAGATAGTTACATTTAAGTTACATATAAGTTACATATCGGTTTATAAATATCATGAAAATATTACATAGATATCATACTCATATCGGTATTTATATACCTCAATAATACCTGTATGATACTTGTATGATCATTATATGTATTATATACTGATAGGTCAATGATTTTATTCTGAAATTTGTATAAATTGTATTTATTATATTTATTGCAATATTCTACCTAATGTCCTATCTAATGTCCTAATGTCCTATCTATTGTATAATCTAATATCTTATCTAATGTCCTATCTATCATATAATCTAAAGTCTAAAGTTCAAAATTTGAAATCTACAAAAAGAAAAAGAAATGATTAGTATCAATTTAAAGAAATTGAAGTTTTAGGGATAATTTTGAACTTACCAAAATTTCACACGTCCAAAGATCTAAAGAACTGGTCACCTAAAAAAAAGAAAGAAAAAAATGAAATATAAGTAAAGTTTCGTTAAATAAAAGATTCAAAAGAAACCTGTTAAAAACTTACTGAAATTTCATGCCTATCACATTTAAGATTAATATTTTTTAAGTTTTAAAATTCATCCTATTCAACAAAGCAGATATCTACAAATAAAAGAAAAAATGTTCAATTAATTTTTAAAAAAAATAGTTTTAAATGAAATTTCAAAACCCACCTATCCAATGCCCAAGAATTAAAGCCGATATCTACAAATAAAAGAAAAAAAATTAATAAATTTAAAAAAAATAAAGTTTTAAAATGAAACTTCAAAACTTACCCCAACATCCAAGAACCAAAGCTGATATCTAAAAATAAAAGAAAAAAATAATTAAATTTTTAAAAAAAATTAAAGAAGTTTTGAAGTTTTACTTCGAAAACTACTTACCCAAAGCCAAAGAATTGAAAGAATCGAAGCTGATATTTACAAATAAAAAAAAGAAAAAAAGTCAAATAAATTTTTTAAGAAATTAAAGAAATTTCGAAACAAAATTTCGAAACTCAAGTAATTGATCATTTCATTGAGCGTTAAAAGTTAAAATTAATAAAATTAATATTTGTTATAGAAGATAATTTTACAATTATCTAGAATTTACAGTAAACATATCAAAGATTCTATGTACTAAATATATTAAAACGTGTCTTCTCGATTGGAGTGTAGCACTTAATGCTAATCTAAGAACTTTTGACTTCTTGAATTTTTCTTCTTCCATTGACCACTATTGACAAATATTTAAATTAACATTTACATATATCAATCTTTATCATTGCTAATAAAGATTCATTATCCACGTACCGTTTCACCTTTTTTGGCTTTTATCTAAAACACTCGCAACTTGTTCATCTCAAATGACTGATATCCGCACGTTCTACTATATATTAAATAAGTAAAATTAATCATAAAGTTTCTTGATTAATAAAATCTTATTTAATGTTAGACTAACCGGTTACATCCATAATTTCCAAAATTACCGCCAATAATAACCGTTAATTGTGATACTTTAGCACAAGATACTGCAGTCACCATCTTCGCAATACCACTGGCTTCTGCAAATAAACCAACCATAAATCCTGTAATATTCTAAAAGAGGGTCTGAAAACCTAAAAAAATGAAAAAAAAGAGACGTTAGTACGTCTCTTTAACACAATTGAACGCCAAAACCTCTTCCATATACCTAAATCCAGTTCTTCCAAGTTCATAGGAGTCCGATAACTAAAAAATGAAAAAAAGAAATGTTAGTACATTTCTTTAACACAATTAGATACCAATACCTTCTCCCAATATACTTTACCAGGTTCTTTCAAGTTCCTAGAAGTCCAGTAATTAAAAAAATAAAAAAAAGAAACGTTAGTACATTTCTTTGACACAATTAGACACCAATACCCTCCCCATATACCTAAATCTGGTTCTTCCAAGTGTTCCTAGGAGTCCAGTAACTAAAAAATAAAAAAAAGAAACGTTAATACGTTTTTTTAATATAATTAAACGTCTACCCTCCCCAATATACTTTACCGGATTCTTCAAAATTCCTAGGAATCCGGAGAAATAAAAAAAAAAATTATTTTTTTTTAAAAAAAATGTGTATTTTAGATTATTAACGATTAGTTAAAAAACTGATCAGAGCTTAATTGAATAAGGAAATTGCGAAACTATATCATAATATCATATGATATACTGTGCAGTTTCAGCTTACCAAAGCAAAAATATCATTCCTGATATGAACAATCATATCTATGGTGCAAGTAAACTATACTCAACAATAAAATTGTAGTATTAAAAAATCTTATAAAATTTCAAAAAATAAATTTTAAAGAAAATAAACTGGTAGTTTTATTCTTCAAGACAAGTACTATCAAATTACCGGTCAGATTTTTGAAAAAAGATCTGTATAAAAAGTTATAGGTATTTAAAACTAACCGATTTTTATATGATCAGCCTAAATTTGAAACAAATTTAATCATATGTGCCCTATCTTATTGGTCAAAAATTTTTATAATTCAGGCCAAAATTATGATATTTCAATGCTGGCCCGAATTATCACATTCATTTGATCATGAGAAAATTCCTTTTAACAATGAGAAAACCTTCTGATTCATGAGAAAATCATCACATGTGAATGAGAAAATTTCGATTTGGCTTTACTGATGCCACGTAAAACAAAATGACAACAACAAGTTAGTAAGATACCTAGGAAAAAATGTCATTATATATTACAATACCATGTAATTCAAATATGAAGAGTTTTAATGAATAACTGACATAAAATATTATGTACGAAACAGTGTAACATATAAAAATTCTCGTTTTTTATTGGATAATGTCTGATCACGTGATATTAAACTTGTGCCAGAAAATTGAAACATAATCACATGATTGTCGAGTATAGTTTACTTGCACCATATTAAGAATGATGCCTTACCAATCACTGGACAAATCCATATTACACAAATTTATTAGTAAAAAAATTTTGTACAACATCAAAGAGAAAACTTCGATCTTATTACAAGTTTGTAACAATATATGTTAGTACGACAATTTAATGAATAAAATTGATTCTCTAGGTCATGTGATATCTCATGTGATGTTTATTTTTAATATTTTTCGTCGATTAAAAAAATTGTAATATGTCGTAAAATTTATGAATTTTTAAGATATTTTTTTAAGATCCTCCCAAATTTTAAACTTTACAAGCCTACTCTTTACATTATTAGATAAAGAAAAGTGTATTTTTATTGAGTCTAAGTTATAAAAAGTAGTTTATACAAGGACTTTTATGTAAATTTAAATTTTTAATTTTATATTAAATTTGAAAAGTTAATTTCAATAAATTTATTCTTAAAATAGTTTAATTTTTTTTTTTGTTATTTAAATAGTAGCGTCTAACTCTTTGAATATCCCATGTAGAAGGTAAGTTAGTTAAAATATCATTAATTTCTTCATCAGTTGGTGTTGCTTCGTTAAGCAGTAAGGATTTTAATATTTCTTTTTCTTCTTTTGTTGTAATTGTTCTTTTACGTCTAGAAGCAGGATTTTTATCATTTGAATGTTGAGAATCATCATTAATTGGTATTGAACGGGATGTACTTTCATCATTTTCAGGTACTTTTCTTTTTTGTGAAGGTACTATTGACTTATTTATCGATCTTATATCTGTTTTAACTACTTCTAAATGTCTCCTTCCTTTTGTATTTATTCGTTCAGTTTTAATAACCTCCTGACAATAAACTTCCTTTATTCTTTTTAATCCTTCATTGTAAGCATTACTCAACTTCTCCAATCCTTCTTGAGTTAATTGCGATGGAGGATTGTTTTTAAAAAGCTCATGCTCTGTATAATTACATGTTTCAAATATTTCAACCAAATTTTCTACCAATTTCCACAGAGGATCAATTCTATTATCAATTTTACGATCTTTTCTGTTATAATTATAAGGATCTAAAAATTCATTTAATAATATATCAATTCTTTCTTTTTCCTCCTGAGTTGCCTTAATTTGAAGATTTAGATTCTCTTGATTGATAACATTTCCAATTATATTTTGTTTAACATATCCAACTCCATGCACCTCTAAAGCTTCATCATATGCTAGATAGTGACCTTTTCTTGTTAAATTGATAGAGGCACAATGTTTGAGTTTTTTTTCCAAATTGGGGTACTTTTTAAGGATTGATAAAAAATGAGCCACAGATGTTGTATAGTTATTTTTACCAGCAGCTGGGAAAAGAGGCGCAAAAGCTGTTAGACTATCATGTTGTAATTCATAATTACCAATTCGTATTCCAATAAGGTGACTTTTCCACATTGCAAAATATTTATAATAAAAGTACCAAGCTTTAACGCAAACATTATTATTATCTGTTGGTTCAGTTGAAATATTTTCAATGCTAATATTCTTTTTTTTTGCATAAATATGGATTGCTATGCCAACAGCAACCCATATTAATTCCAGCACTCTTCGTGTTGATCTATTGTCTACAACAGCCTGAAGTTTATCTAAGAAGCGAACTCCAATTGCTGCAGCCAAGTGAAAAATCCCATAGCTTGAAAAGATAGTAAGTAATACACCGAGCATTTCTCTAGAAGTATGCCATTGACCTAATATAGGTCTTATTTTTTCCCATCTAGTGCGTGATTTTATTAGCCTTCTAAAAATGGCCTCATCTGCGCAAATATCTAGATATCCATCATCATTTAATGAAAATTCTTCTTTATACATTTGTGTGGCACGAAAAATTTCATTGTCATCATTTGGGGAACCAGTAGGGGTTAAAATAACTACATTAGAAGGTGGGATTAAACAACCAAAGTCACAGCGGGTAAGAATTTCTTTTTCAATTGTATCAACATCTAAATCTTTATTATAACTTATATTTTCATCTGTACTCTTTTGAAAATCTAACAATTTTTCAAAAGCATAATCAATTTTGCTTTGCATTATATTCATTCCTTGCGTCATCCCAAAAAGTTGAGTATTGACATTTAATTCTTTGATTGGTTCAGGTATTTCATTAACAAGTATAGGTAAGGTTGATTGAAATACCATTCTTAGTGTCGCATGTGATGTTTCACGTGTTACATCATAAATGTTACCAAACCCAAAACTAGCTTCTTTAAAGTCTATATTGTCGATTACAGCCAAGTTAAATATATCATTTCCACTTCTTAATCGCTTCGTAGGGTCAATACTTTGCATTCTAGTTTTTTCTAACCGACGCTCATGACGATTTGTATGTCCAATTATAAAACATTTTGTTAATAATGCATGAAGAGAAGAAATTAATTTCGGTCTCCTACATAAAGATGACAATACAACAGGAAGCCAAAGATCAAAATAAGGAAAAGCGTATCCTATCAATACTGAAAGTAAGAAAGAAATGGTTTTGTTGATTTCTTGAGGATTAGATTGTTTTAAAGGTTTATTTTGTGATTTATTTTTTCGATTTGATCGAAATATTTTTTTTGATTCTAATTGTAAAAGCATTTTTTCAAAGAAAATCTTCAAAAATTTAGGAAATGCATCAATATATTCTGTAATACAAGTTGGAGATCGAAGGTAGGTTTGATTTTCTTTTAAATGTTTGTATGATTGCCATAATTTATCTCCGGCTATCTTTCCAATTTTCTCAAAATCTTTTTCTTCTAATTCTTTTTCATTAGGATAAATTGGGATTTTATTTAAACGCGTCAATGTTCGAACCATAAAAAGAGTAGGAAGTTTCAATAATATTGGAATCAATAAATGATTAGAAGATGTGTCATTTAATTCGTTTGATTGTAGTGGATTTTCATGAAAATTATCAACATGATAATTTTCATTTAAAAAGTGAAAATAAGAAGGTAAAAATATTCCAAGTACTTTTTTTTGATATTCTTCGTTTTTATTATCTTTAACATAAAAAATCCAACGCGCAACTATTTCTAAATTTTTTTTAATATCATGGTCATGATATTTTTGCTCGGTACAAGTCGTTGATAATTTTCCTTTACCGGGTTTTACATGAAAATGGCCACCTTCTAATTCATAACATTCTGAACAAATATAACGTGAATTTTTATTATCTTCGGAAACAGACTTACAGATTGGATTACATTCCTCAAGGGCAGGGCATTTATGTTGTCCGTTACAGGCAACTTTTATACTTTTTCCCAGTAAACCCCATGTTGAATGTTTTGAACATCCATTTCCCCGACTAAAAAAGTGAAAAAGTTTTCCACAAAAGAGACACCTGCGTCTATGTAGAATACTATCTGCTGTAGATTTTTTTTTTTTAGTTTTTAAATCATGTAATTTTTGGTCATGATTAAAATGATAACTGCAAACTCCTAGATTTTCTAAAGATCCATTTGTTTCTAAAACTTCGCTACTATCTACTTGTCATATCCCAACTAGTTGCCACAAGTTCCGAAAACTATCCATGTTTTTACATCTTTGAATTTTGCCGTCTATTTTGTCAATTAAAACACATGGGGTTAACTTTTTTGGCTTATTTTGCTCAACTCTAATATCACTCTCAGTATCATTATCGAAATTTTCATCATATTCACTTTCAAAATCATCAAACTCACTATCAGAATCAGAGTTTTCATCATGTATCATATCAGCTTCATTCAATTCAAAGGTTCTTGGTATAAGGATAGGTTCGTCTATACTCTTTTCGTTAACATCAAACCAATTTTCATCCAATATTTGCATTTCTGAAGTGTTTGTATTTATTTCTATAGTGTTATTTAACATTATTTTAAGGGTTTATAATCGGTAATTACTAAATGGTTCGTCAACTTTAACCTTAAGATCCTCCCGAACGAAAAAAATTTTTTTTCTAATACCATAAGAAAAAACGTTAGAAATAAACACAAGATTGAGATAATTTGTTTAAATTTGGCAGTTTTGTTCACAAAATTTGATTATAATCATTTTAATTGTAAATTTCATAGTAAATTTTATTAGTACACAATGTTGATCATTACTAAAAAAAAATTTGATCTACATGAAATTGAATTTGTCCGGTGATTGTTACTAAAACCTAGTTTTAGCAGTTTTAGCAAGCATCCGGCATCCTAAAATAATTTTTTTAAAAAAAAATTAATTATCTGATCTCCATAAATATATTTATATTAAATATAAAATATCTAAAATTATTAGAGCTAAAAAAATATAAATAGAAGGTTATTATATTCCTATATGCCTTCTATTTAAAAATCTTTTTTCCTAAGCTTACCAGTCTGAAATGGCAATCCAGAAGCTATAAAGTATACAAATATACCTTTTATTTTGTATTTTGTACATGTTTGTTAAACTCTTGTAAAAGAAAAAAAGAAAAAAAACTGGTAGACTTAAAAAAAAACAATGATTGTTTATTTTATAGTTTAAATAGTTTAATTTATTAAATCCACAGCATTGTCATTAATCATAAAAATGATCTACATATGAAAATACTGATATCTCTTATATTTTACTGATATTTCTAATATAAATATCAATGACCTATCAGGTTAGGACCCCGCTTACTTCTAATAAAGGTCTCCGGGCAAAATTTCAGATTTACTAGTAATTTTACCAACCTTTCTTATCTCATAATTTTACCATATATATATAGTGACCTTTTAAAATTATATTAAATTTTACCTTAGATTTTCAGAGACCTAAATTTTTTTAAATATTAAATAAACAAAATATTTTATAATCATTACAATAAATTTTAAAAATTTTTTATTTTTACTAAGTTTAATTCTTATTCTTTAAAGATAAATAACTTTTATTAGTAAAAAAAGTACTTTGAATTACAAAAATACTATAAAAAAAATCTTAAAGACACACATCTTTAACTT